CACTGTTGTGTTTGTAGGTAATGTCATTGTTTAGTAGCCAATTACTATTTCTTACTGATAGTAACTGGAAGGACAGTGTGGTATGATGTGTTTCGCTAACTTGTAGTTGAATATGCCTCAATTAACCACCATTATTGTCATCATCAAGAATTTGTGAGACCCTCTCATTCCACAGCTTCCTGTATGTGTCATGGGGATGCAGCGTGTGTACCTGCGGTAGTGAGTGGATTTTTATGACCATATTTTCCTTCCATTTCTTCTAAAGCAGTTTCCCAGAATCCTAGGTTCTTTCATCATCTCTGAACCATCGATGCACAGGAACTAGAACAGCACACATAGAGACAGCATCCTTCAAACCAAAGTGGTTTTGTTTGCTTTTCTAATTGTGAATTTATTTATATATCTTTAAATCTCTAATTAGCATATTTTGGTTTATGTATCAATGTGTTATAGAAACTAAGATATTTGGATGAAATTAAATGTTTTGCAGAACTATCTAAGACCTTCAGTTACAATAAATGTTAAGTCCTTGGGAATCAAGATGCCGTCATAACAGTAGCAAGTAGGCTATGGTCCACTTTACTCAGTCAGGTTTTTGACCCACTACTGAGCATTATAATTGTATTCCAAATTTATCTTTTCACCCTCTTCTGAATGTGCAGTGCATCAACTTATTTAATAAACAATTATTGAGCACCTGCAGTGTGTCAGATACATAGCTAGGATAGAGTCACTGGTCAAAAAGAATTTACAGTATAGTGGAAGAGACAGCCAAATGAACCAATGGATACCATAGACCATTTAAAGACTAGGCTGAAATTATTTAGTCAGGGAGTTCTGGTAGCACAGAAGACTGGCATTTACTTTAGACCAACTAATCCTTTGGTGAATCTTCCAGGATAAGAGTCATGAGGAAGGAAGACCATCCCAGGCATAGAGATCAGGAGGCACAAAGGGACAGAAGCAGGGATTATCCTGGTGCAAGCAAGCACCTGCTAGTGACTCAGTGTGGTTAGAGCAGGTGCTCAGTAGAGATGGAAAGAAGGCTAGATAGGTAGACAGGGTCAGAGCTTAAGAGGCTGGTATGTAGGACAGAGTGTAGGCCAAGAAGAAACAGACCTGATTTCTTCACTATGAAGAACACTGGTAGTAATACCTCTCAAGCATGTCATTGGTCTTTAGTGTCCTCGACAGAGCAACCAGGAAAGAGACATTTCCAAACCATGTTCTAGAACTTTGTTCTAGTAGATATAAAAAGATGGGCCACAAGAAAAAAAAAATATTTCAGTAGTTAAGGAGCAGATTGAATACTATATATACTATATTCTTCAAAATTCACAATTGAGAGCATATTAAAGGTTTTCAAAGTCTTCTAGTAAAGGAACTACTTTAGTTTTAACTCACCATTTTTTTTCGAGTTTTTCGAGCTTGGAGTCAGTTTTCTATATTAGTGTCATGCTGTGGAGGCCCATTTTGACAAACAGAATCCATGGTCCAAACATCTTCATTTCCTGTTTTGTTTGTGTTGGTGGAGCTGAGGATGGCACATGCCCTTCAAGTGTTCCACCATCAAGCTTCACCCTCCATCCTCAGTGATACCTCTCCAATGTGCAGGACTAAAGAGCTGGTTCTTATAGATTTACTTCTTAGGTCACTTTGTGTCCTTGTCATCAACTTTGGCTGTTTATTTTTCATAGCAACTTTTTTTTTAATTGCCTCACCTGTCCTTTTCTCCTCATTTTTTATATCATGCTCAGACCATATGACCTTCTATTGAGTTGCAAGAAATGTGAATTGAGCTGTTGCTAAACAAATATCAATCATTTATAATGTATTTAATAGAAATTATAATGAATAAAGTTAGGATTTTACTTATTATAAAGTCTTCATATTCTGCATTGGCAAACCTCAAAATTAATCGTCATTATGATGCTAAAGAGATCAAATAAATAAAAACAGAATTAACTTTGTTAAAAATTTAATATTTTCAATATTTACCTGTCAGAGCCACTGATTTGGAAATTGTTATAAATTCTCAAAAAATGGGAACATGTTTTTCCTGTAAAAATCCCCATCATTTTGCAAACTGCAGTGTCATTTTCCTTGAAGAGAATGTAGTGATTGATTATCCAGAGTGCTGCCATGACAAGGTAAACCAACCAAATAGCTGGAAAATTGTATGTAATCATATAGCATCACCTAGGTGTGTGCTGAGCACAGCCATTAGAATTAAGCCATGCCATTCTGATCATTCCCTGCTGTCCATCCTTCTCACCCCCCGAACATGAACCTCCAGGGAATGGGCAGAGATGCTTGCAGTCACCCCTGCCCCTACAGATGTCATCAGTGCAGTTCTTGTCATCCAGATGCACTGTGGTAAATACAGTACAAACCTACTTCACAGCAAGAGATTTCAAAATGCAGAGACATCTGTATCAAACATCCCTCACATATAGACATTCAGAGAGACGTTCATTAACATTCTTTTATTAGTAGTATAATCCCGAAGGTCCTGATAAACTATAAACAAGGAGAGAAAAGGAATAATGGGAGCTGAACAAAAAGGAAAGGAGAAAGATCCTCCTGAGAATTCCGCAGTATAGTCAGGAAGGCCACACGTACCTGTGATGACTTGTGAACTGTTACACTGTGATCCAGCCAATGTCAAAGTAATGTAATGATGAGCAAATTGAATACATGAGTCATGAGAGTGATCAAATTATCCTTGGTTATTAGAGTACTAAACTGAATCAGAAGAAAGGAAGGGGCTACCCAAGCTACCCCAGACATGATTACCAATACTGTGATTGGGAATAGAATCAGGCTCTTTCTCTTAATAATAATGAGTAATCTCATTTTCCCTGCAATGCTTTAGATATTAAGTGGGCTCCGTTAGGATGGCAGACTCCTCTCTCCTTTATTAATTGCTGTCCACATGTCTTAGGATACCCTGTGTTCTGAATCAAGATGAGAATTTTAGATGTTTCTACGCATGGGCACATGTAGCCAGGCAGAATCAATTCCTGTCACTCACTCACAAATACAGAGGAATGGGATTATGGATCAGGGTGAAGCTGCAGTGCTTTAATCTTAAAATCAATACAGAAAAGGAAGTTGAACTTGTGGGGATTCTATAGAGACTGTAATTTGGTTTCCTAAGAGGTTTGCCTTACAGAATAGAACTGTTCCTTTCTTCTCTCCTTCTAATTATTTTACTGAGAATGGAAAGAGGAGGGGAAGGGGAAAAAAGACAGAAACCTCTACAACCAAATCATCTTGAATAAGCATGCAAATGTGTCATAATTCAAGCTAATCCTCCTTTGTGTTGAGAAAAGCTATACACTTTTATCCATTCTTTATTAAAAAAAAAATAGTCAAAACCCTGTATCCTATAGCCTGTATTTAAGCATAATAAAATGCCTTTTATTCCTTCATAGGTCACTAGAAAAATGTTTTTAATGTTTACTTTTATGCCTAAGTCTACTATAGCCTATGTGATTTTACACAAATAAATATTCAACACACTTGTTATTGACCAAAGGATTCCAGGCTGCTAAGCATGTGATTAATATTTACTCCCATGTAATTCTGCTCCTTTTGAAAGAGACATGAACTAATGGTTTTAAAGACTCAGTCTTTTTCTTAATCAGAGACTTACAGCTTATTGAATATGCCTCTTTTCAGATATAACACTGATTTGTTGCACAGTACTATCTATCCGACTTTAAAGTGGGCTTATTATTTTTCCCTTTGGATAGTTCTTTAATTCAGTTTTAAAATATGTCTGAGTCTGTTTGGATCCTGTTCCTGTAATGGTGACAATGATGTTGTTACAGTTTGGATTTGAAATGTCACCAGAGGCCCGGGTGTTATGTTAAAGGCCTGTTCCCCAGAGGGGTGCTGTTGGGAAGTTGGAGAGAACCCCCAAGAGAGTAGGGTCTACTGGGAGGTCTTCAGGCCACTGGGGGCATGCCCTTGAAGGAGGTTTTGGAACCCCAGCCCTTCCTCCTCCTCCTCCTGCTGCTGGCCATTAGGTGAGCAGTTCTGCTCTGCTGTGCACTTCTGCCATGATGCCCTTGCCATAGTCCCAAAACCACAAAGCCAGTTAGTCACAGACCGAAACCTTCAAACTATGAGCCAAAATAAACCTTTTCTCTTTATAAATTGATTATCTGAGTTATTTGTTACAATACTGGAGAGTTGACTAACACAGTAATATACTCTGATCATGGGAAAATGTTTGAGCTGTGAGCAGAACTCAGGACTATCGCTGAGACAAAATGGTTTGGTGAAGAGAGCAAAGCCTGGAGCCCCTGCTTTATTTGCTTCATCTTTCTAAGTTTCTTTACACTTCTTTTGACTAGGGGTGATTTTAGGTGATAGGAAGGGGTGTCGAGAGGAATAAATGAGCTGATGTATGCAAAGTGCTTAGCACTGTACCCTGCACTTGCAAGAACCCCATAAATGTTCATGATAGTCATGATGATTATGTGAGTCTCGAGTGAGAAAACATGCTGTGCATGTGAAAACGTTCTACAAGCTTTAAGACAATACAAATGTTGTTGTTAATATATTGATAGTTTTGAGACTTTCAAAATAAACCATGGAAGGCTTTTTCTTTATGCTGCTTATCATAGGTCACTCCTCTCAAAGTAGAACTCTGAAGGTTGTAAATCAGGCTCCAACTGAATATGCATTTTCTTTCTTAAAAAACAAAGAGATATCTTGTGACTGCCAAGAACTCCTCAAAATCAGTTTGCAAATCCTTATCCTATGTCATTCCAGAGAAAATACCTTCACAGGTCTTTGGAAGACCCAGTAGGATGTAAGATACTAATTTTGTTCTTGATTTTAGTCCATGTTTTTAAATGTCACATCCTTCAGGAAAGTTCAAGTGTCTTCAATTATTATATCCCTTCATTTGTCCTTCCTTGTCCTACACATTACCTGAGCATGGAAATCTCATGAGTTTCTGTGTCCTCTTTTTCATTCATTTCCAGAGCACTATCATCGTGGAGAAGACAGTGCAAGACCTCATGAACCTGATGCATGACTTGAGTGCATATTCAGATCAGTTCCTCAACATGGTGTGTGTGAAGCTCCAGGAGTACAAGGACACCTGCTCTGCAGCCTACAGGTAGAGCTTCTGCTAGGGCCTAAGCAAAGTCACTTTAGAACCCCGGGGGTGGCTCTGATTAGTGATACTATCTTTGTTGCCTAACTTCCACCTTAAGAAAAAAGATCACTCCTGAATTTTTCAGGGGGCCTGATAGAACATGTTTCACAGAAATAGGCTCTTAGATTCTTCCATAGTCACCCTGACTGAGGGAATGAAACGGACCAAGAATCAGAGACACATGAGACTTCCCTGGAGTGGCTCAGCTGAGGGTATCAGCCTTGATTTTCATGAGACTCTAGAATTGTAAGGTTTTCCATCCTCAAGTAAATTTCAAACCTTGATTAGTCCATCTGGTGAGTGAAAAGATCCTTTAAGTAGAGCAATTTGAAACTCTTAATAATCTATAAAGTACTTCTTTTTCATCCTTACAAATGTATTCTCCCTGATGTTTGATCTATAAGCTTCCTACCTTCACAAAAGGACAGTTTTGTGGTGATGTTTTCAACATCACTAGAAATGAAAAACTAATGTTACAAACTTGAAAATGGTTATTTATACCTCTGATATATTTTCTTTGGGTTGAAAAACCTTTCTGGGCTTATGGAAGAGATCATAGTCCTTCTCACGGAAAACAAATTTAGGAACAAATGATGGTCTGGTTGGCAAGACATAGGACAATTATCAAAGAAAGGAATGTGGGCTGGGGACATGGTGCAGTTGATAGAGTGCTTGACTCACGTGTACAAGGCTGGAGTTCAGTCCCCAGCACCACACACACACTCACACACACACTCATACACACACACAAAATAGGAATGTGTGGGGTAATATTCTAACATGTATGTGATATATAACTAAGGATAGAGAGGTACAGAACATAGTAACTGTACTGCAAAGGTGATAACTGAATAAGACGTACTCTTCGGGCAGAAAGAGCAAAACATGAGCAAGACTAGAAAAAGATGGTGGCAGCCAGGAGTGACTTTGCAGAAGGAGGGATATGGGGAGGTGCAGCTCAGCAGGGGCCGAGGGGAAGCACTAGCATAGTTGCCTTGCATTTGGAGGGTCCTATGTGGAGGAAGTTTGACTGGAATAGAGCTCTCAATGGAAGGTAGTAGGAGATAATGTTGAATAGAAAGAGTAAGACCAACCAACATGGTCTTTTTAAAAAATGAGGCTTGGAAATATAAACATTGTACAGTAAATAATAAGTGAATCCAAAAGCAGTGTTTAGGGGAGATTAATCAGACAGAGTAATACAGTATAGATGAATGCTCAACCTTCCTCTTTCCAGCCATAAGTGATATTTGTGCACACCTACGTGAACCAGTTAAAGAAACCCAACCACTTTACTGAGATGCACTCCCAATAATATTTTATTTTTTTCATTCAATGATTAATTCATCAAAAGTTATTTTTGGGTTAAAATTATACATATAACGAATAACTTATAATAGATTATTTAAAAAATATTTACTGTAGTAATTCAGATAAAAGGGCTAAAAAGTATATTGTTGTGTTAACAGAAATCTTAAATTTATATTTTTTAGATTCAAATTCGTATAAATATTTTTTGCAGAAAATTCCACATATCCCATTAGGATAAAATTCATTGAGGATGTGAAATAGAAATAATATTCAAAAAGAAAAGAAAATACATCCAACTGTTAAAAAAGAGCCTTTTCCATCTATATTTTAATGGAGGGCATAAAATTACAAATAACACCTGTGAAAGACACGAACTTAGGATATCTGTCTGAGATCGGAATTTCTGAGCCATACATATTGTTTTTTCAGTTGCACAAAACCTAATTCCAAAGCAGTTAAAAAGTTGTACCAATGTGTCACATACCAAATGAGAATCTAATAGCATATTTTAAATATTAAAACATAAATAGTAAAAATGTCTTTAAATAATGACATTTTAAAAGCATTGCATTTTAATTTTACTTTTATGACTATGTTGAACTTCCATTAAATTTAAAACTTTTTAAAAGGCAAGTTCTGCCCTCTTTTTCTTACATCTGATTATGAGTACCCAATAATTTCTCACAAATAATAATGTTGAATGTTAATTATAATGAAGAAGTTATATAACCTGACTATAATAAGGTAAAGTTGACTCTAGAATCTAAATGCCTCTTGTAGTCATTTTTATAATATTGTTATTCATAATATTTTGACAGAAAATTTTAAAATTCTTGCAACATTATTCATCACAGGTGCTCTTTTTTTCGTAGTTTTTGATCCTGCCTCTCAACATGAGATATGACTGGAACCTATGTGTATTCGTTTGCTTTATGATACTATAACAAAATGCTTGAGCCAATTAGCTTATATAGAGAAAAGGATTATTTTGGTTCGCCATTCGGGATGGCTCAGTCAAAAATCAGATGATCCCATGGCTTTGGACCTCAGCCAAAATAGCACAGAGTGTGTTCAAGCATCTGTTAGCTATTTACTGAGCATGTGCCAAGACACTGTGTAAGTGTGTGGGAAGAAAGAACTTAACTGGTGACTGATTCTACCTCTAATGAACTTATATTATAAAGGATAGAAAGGGGAATATGAGACAAATGATCATAATTTTATATGTAATCTTCATACCACTAATTTATGACAGGAAATATGGTAAGGTAAGGGAAGATGCCGTGTTCCAGGAGGAAGAAATCACTGAGGGAAGGATATGAACCAGGCTTCTGGAAAAAGAGGAGGATTTAGAGAGTCTTAGGCAGGGGAAGAAAGGAACCTGAGCAATGTCAAGGACTGGGGGTTCGTCGGGACGGGAAGAACAAGTGAATGAATGTGCAGGCTTTGAAAGGAACGCTGCAGTCAAACTGCAGGATCTTGAATGCCAAGCTCCAGGAGCGGGGACTTTTAAAACTAGGTAGTGGACAGCCACGGACTGGGTGTAGGTAGACAGCACCAGGCACAGGCCTGTGCTTCAGGGAGATTTCCTGAGTATTTTGTAAGGTGGACTAGAAAAGTGAGAGTGGGCAAGTAGAGGGGAGAGAGATTAAGTCCCTGAATTGGGGGAAAGAGAGGGATAATGGAGGGGAAGTAGACAGCTCAAGAGGAATTAAAGAGGTAAAATTTTTAGATTTGACCATTAGTTGGCTACAGAGAGTAAGGAAACGTTAGGAAGAAACACTGGTTGAAATTAGCATTATCTTTTCTATTGCTGTGTTTTTTTGTTTTTTTTTTTTTTAGTTGTTGTTGGACACAATATTTTTATTTTATTTATTTATATGTGGTGCTGAGGATTGAACCCACTGCCTCGCACTTACTAGGTGAGTGCTCTACCACTGAGCCACAACCCCAGCTCCACTATGGATTTTTTTTAAAACATAAATCTAAGATCTTACATTTACCCATTAAATGTAATGTTATTTTTAACTCCTTATTGAAGTCTTTTAAGGTATTTTTAAATCTTCATTCTGTCATCAAAAAATCTTAAGCTATTCTTCCAAATTCCATGTCATTCTTGATTTTAGAAGCAATCTTTTAGCTTCTTTATAAATGTCCTGAAAAGAAAAAAACAAGAAGTTCAACCCTAATAGGAATTTTGGAATCTACTTCTTAAGACAACTATGTATCACTCAATACTTCAGGAGCCCCTTTGGTTTTGTAACTAAGAAGGTGTACTTTAGGTCAAGAGCAGGCCCTGCAGCCCAAGTGTGAATACCAGCTTTCTGCCTACTAGTTATATGAACTAGTCTCTCTGTCTTAACTTCCTCATCTGCAAAAAGGGATAATGATAGTTCTTTTCTTTTCTCAAGGGGTTTTTAAAAAATACTAACTTTAAAAAAAAAATAGTTTTTAAGTAAAATAGTATGTCCCCCCTCACACAAAGATGAGCTCCTGTTTTGTTGATAGCAGTGTGTGGTGGTGATGGCTGCCTTGACTACCACCTGGGGCACCGATATTTTTCATCTTCTGCCCTACAAGAGATTGTATCAGGTTTCTTTCCTATATCTCCCAATTATAATACTTTTAAGGCAAACAGTATCCCGCTTACGTGTCTCCCTAAAATGTGCATGTAAAAGCCAGCTGTGGACAATACTCCAAGTATTTGTTCAGGAATCTTCCCAACCCTTCACTTTCAGGACCTACTTCTCCTGCTCTACTGAAATGTTCCTTAGGAATTCTCATTTTAGGCTGTGTTTGGATAGGAGGTGTCCCCAAAAAGTCTCATGTTAGACAATACAGAAATGTTCAGAGATGAAAATATCAGTGTTATGGGTTGGATATGAGGTGCCCTTCCCCCCAAAAAGAACCCCTGTGTTAATGTAAGAATGTGCAGAGGTACAGTGATTATATTATGGGAGTTGTGACGTTATCACTCCATCCTAGTTTGAGTGACTGGATGGTAACTGTAGGGAAGTGGGACATGGCTGGAGCAGATGGGTCATTGGGGAAATGCCCTGGAAGGATGTATCTTTCCTGTGGCCCTTCTCCCTCCCCTTCTGCCCCTGCCCCTTCTTTCTGGTCTCACCATGAACTGCTCACCATGAGCAGCATTCCTCTGCTGGGCCCTTCCCCCATGAAGGCCCTTACCTGGGCCAAGAACAATGGAGTTGACAATCTACAGATGGAGACCAACACAATCATGAGCCCCAAATAAATGTTTCCTTCTCCAAGACGTTCTTGTCTATTTTGGTCACAGTGATGAAAGGCAAACTAACACAGTCAGATCTTGAGAACAAAGTCAAAACAACCAAAAGCCAAATTTGTCATTTCTTCATGTCAATCAGGAAAAGAACAAAGTCATGTGTCTTGTTCTTTGAAAGATCTTCCTAGCTCCTGGAGAGGACCACTTTCTCACTGTTCACAAACTGCCTTTTATAATCTCTTCAGAATCTTGTCCATGATTCCAAATTCACTCCATTTCTTTAATTTAATTTCCTTTTCTTTTTTTGAACCTCGGGGATTTGTTCTCAGTGTTTCTCCATTTCTGTCAAGATATCTCCAGTAGTTCTATGATTCCATGTTTAATTATTTCAGTATCCCAAGATAAA